ATGTGACAGCACGAAATAAGGAATGTTCGGGGAAGAAATTCCAGGTTAATAGATAAGGGCTGCAATTCATTCGCAGGCTGTTACATGGGCTAAACAGTAGGGTAAAGATACGGTTCACTATTTACTACGTCACTGGTTTTCAGCGCCAGGCATCTAATGGTGCATGGGCATGAAACGGCCAATAGGTGCTAGCATTGGAAACTAGTATTCATGGAATGGCACTTGATCACTGTTGAAAACAGGTGAGAAGGAAGTGTTTTGCCTTGCGGAGAGGCTTGGAGTGGTGTGAATCCAACTGAAGCGAACAAATATAAACGGCTCACTTGTTCTGGACTGGTGAGTTTGTACGACGGATTACTCAACGATAAATGCGAATCTGAGATGTGCTCCTGAAGCAGCGTGCGAATTCGGGACTCGGTGACGACCACACAGGTCAAAGTAACTTGTCGTAAGTCAGCTGATTTTACGTGGCATGTGCGTTGACACAAACTTCCACTGCTACCCTCACGAAACTTGATTGCTAACTCTGGGCACACACAGTGTGACGCAGCTGCGTTTTACCGAATTCCGCAATGCTTGACAGACGTTGCCGCGCTACACTCTGACTTCGGCAGCCCACCTGTGCTTGCCACCCAGACAGAGGCTGACGCAGGAACGTTCTTGTTCCTTATCGCTTCAGTAGTCAAGTTTCTCTCACACGGATTTCTAAATGATAGTCCTGGTCTCGGAAACGTCCACTGAAATTTCCCGGACGGGTGTTACTTCGTAAAAACGTTTACAAGGCCCTCTTTGTCCTTTCGCATTTACTTGAGGTATCCCATCGCTCAATTTATACGCAAAAGTGATGACCTCTACAACCTAACGTTATATGCACTGCATGTAAAATATAAATGAAAAATTGCTGGTAACTGAAGTTTGTCCTTTTTGCTCACCAAAAAGCTCCTCCACCTAGTTTAGCATAGTCTTCTATATCTTCCCAAATATTCCGTGGAACAGTTCTCTCCGAAGTATACCTTCCAGAACGACAGTTGCGGTAAGTGCATGCCGCCTGAACTTTCATATATTTTTGATCCAGCACCCTGTGAATCTTAGCACATCAGCAAAATTACCCGAGGAGTAGAGATACAATGTCCGGACGGGCATCTGCCTTTAATCTTGGCTGCTCCCCCAATTGCAGTAGGAAGACAATTTTTTTCATCCAGTTATCATAGTTTCATGGGATGCGAAAGAGCCACTGCTATGGCTTTTCGCCCATACATTTTGTTACATCTTTTTGTGCTGTCTCCGGCTGTAAAGTGAACCTTTAGGCTGAGGAACGAAATACGCATTGCAAAAATGTTTGTGTTTATTACGACGTCGATGGCTGCTTCTTCCGCGCAACACAAACCACATGCTCATCACGAAGGACTCAAAAAGTGCAAGCTGAAATAACCACCTTCTTTTGAACCCTGGTCCACAGAGGCGACACCGTCTTTATTCTCATGAGCGACCGCCAAGAAAATAATTGAGGAGTTCCTCCCATATGACTTTTCTTCGTGTGAGAGAAACTTGACTACTGAAGCG